ACTCCTCACACGCAGGCTGATGCAGCAAGGCCCGAGATTTCCTCTTCTGTTCCATTTGTTCCGTACACTGGCAACTAATGCTCCCCGAATCTACCCACTACACATCCTCTGTCATTCTTCTTGAGCAGAGATTCCCTAAAACCACTCCATTATTTAGTTTTCACTTATTCAATAATTATTTATTGAACTACTACCACATGTCAAGCCTCGTCCTCAGGTTATCATAGCACTCACAATCTAGTGAGAGCGACAGACAAGCAGAGGTAGCTACGGTACAATTTTATGTATGAATAAGCATATGTGCTCTGGAAACACAAAACAAGGCACAGAGAAAGAGGTTAAGAGAGATCATTCGGAACTGGCCAGCTGGAGCATGTGGCTGCAGGAGATGCACATTGAGAGGTGAGGCTAGAGAAGTAAGCAAGAGCCTTGACAGTCTCAATAAACAGCGTGGACTTTACCTTGAGGGCAAGGCCAAGCCTTGAAGGGCATCAGGCAGGAGTGTGATATAATCTGCTGCAATTAGGAGAATGGAATAGAAGCAGCAAGACTTGAGTCAAAGAGACTAGTTAGAAGGCTTTTGCAGTAATCCAAGAAGAATATGATCCTCTTAACTAGGAAAGTGGCAGAGGAGATGGACAGAAGGGAATGAATTTGAGAAAACTCTGGGAGGCAGAATCAATAGCATTTGGCAATAAATTGGTTGTGGCTAGAGAAAGTATGATTCTCAGGTTTCTGAAAAACTGAATAGATGGTACCAGTCATCATTTGAGGGAAAGCTGGAGGACAGAGGGTGGGGAGAAGGATGATCCCTGAGCTGTGGGCATCTAGTGGAGATGCAGGCTTGGCATTCAGGTGGCAGATGGAGCAGATTTCTTTTCTATAGGTGAAGAAAAAGATGAGAAGACATCAGCTTACAGAGGGCAGTTGACACTATGGCACAAGATGAGATCATTCTGATAAGCATGAGTATGTAAAATAAAAAGAAAAGACAACCAGAATAGAGATCAAAGAAACACCAACAATTAAGAAAAAGTAAAGAAGTATCTGCCAAAGCGACTGAGGAGAAGCCAGAGAAACAGAAGACACAACTAAATTAAACATAAATACTATTTCAAGGATGAAGTAGTCATCTCTGTTGAATGATACCAAGAGAGGCCAGCCCGACTGGCAGCACACAAGTCACCGCCCCGCCCCCAGGATAGTCATGTGCTTCAGTGCTCACCAGGTGTGTGGGTACATCAATGTGCCTTCCACTCCAGGTAACAGCAGCCTTGCTCTTCAATGGTCCTCACCACTTAACTGCAGCCCCCAGGGACCCCCAGTAGCTCCTGCTGAGGACATGCTCCCCAGCTCCAACAGGGATAGTGTAATCTGGACAAGTATCTTTCAATCTCCAAACTTTCTAAAACCTGAAGTGCTCCAGATCCACACGTGCGCAGCACAGGAAGAGGGGTATAGTACGCACATTCCACCAGGAAGGCAAGGAAAAAACCGAAGTCAAATGCCAGCCCGGCATTCACACGTTCAACCTCCAGTGGAAGAAAACTTCCCATTCCAAAGCTGAGGCTGAGCCTAGATGGGGACCCTCTCGACAGACTCTGAGCAGCCCCTGCTCAGAGGCTCCTCCTCCGCCAGAGTGCAGCATCCGATCACCCTGAAGCTCTCCAGAGGGGCCTCTTTCCAGACTGCAGGAGGCCAGGGCTTCCCTCAGGCCAGCTCTTTCTCTCCAGTTTTTCCCTCTTCCTAACTTGCGCCTCTTCTCAGACCCACAATCCACCAGGAAAGCCTTTGGTTTAGCTTCTCTGCCACACTGTGCTACTCAGCTGGTGAACCTGGATCTTCAAAACAGAGGCTAAAATCTAAGTTGCTCAAGTGGGTGCCTGTTGCAGAGGTCATTCCTCACTGTACACCAGCCCTACCCTCCCACCCGGCCAAAGATGAACCCCTGGAAAGAGACATTCCCTAGCTGAGTTAAGCAGAGAAACAACACTAAACCTCATGGGAGCTTCAAGAAACACCAGGTAAGGCGAAGGAAAGGTAGGCCATGTAGGGAAGGCAAGCTGACCAAGGGCCAAACCCCTAACAAGTTTCGTCCCTTAAAAAACTTTACAGGGAAAATTAAATTCATACTCACTAAATAAAAGCTCACCTTAGCAGGATCTGCAACTATAGCATCAAAGCCCACGTAAACCTGGAGTATCAACTCATCCACCTTTGAAAAAGATGGACACAAAATGATTTTGTCAGGGTGGGAGCAGATTTCTTTTCTCCAGTGGGATTTCTGCTGCCACTTCAGTTCCCATTTCTCAGTGCCTCACTAATCAGGTCCTTTCCAGCAAAAGTGATGTGAAGCTGGGTTGGGGGAGGGGCGGTGGGAGGTAAGGACAGCAATGAGAAGGAGCCATGGCTTCCACAAACTAGAGCGTGAAATGAAAATATTTGCTGAATTCCTTAGACTTAGTTAAATCTGAAAACGGATGTCAAAATAAGAAGTAAGCCACATACTAACAAGTTGTGAGTGTCAATTTAACACCACCCTTGTCAGGCTCATCAGCAGCCTTTACCAGGCGCACAAAAAGGTGACGGCTCTGCCGAGAGGTTCCAGAAACACCGATAAGCTGTGCACTGTCACGCAGCACTACTTAGGTTTCCTCTCTGACTGTTTTTATTTTGTTACACGTTTAATTAAGAGCCTTCCCAGCAGTTATGCGGAGTCCTGCTTCTAAGAGGCAGCCACAGAGCTCTTCTCCTTTAAGCCCTGCCACCTACCACCTGCTTCCATCCTGCATTCTTTTCCAGACATTCACTGGCTTTCCCAATCCAAACCCAAACCAGCCACCAAAGTCTGCCCAACCTATCTCTTTTGGAAACTAGAGGTCTTAGAATTCAATTCTGTCTAGCTATGAGTTTTTACCTTTCCGAGTTGCAGGGTTTTTTCCCCTGGGACTCTGTATTGTTTTGTTTTGTTTATTTTACCTATAAAAAAGATAATACTGCCTACCAAAGAGGGTAATTAGGAGGTCTGAATGAAATAAGGTATGTGCTCATTAAAACCTGGTTTCCTTTCATATATGCCTAGATTCCACAACCCAATCCCTCTTCTTGATGACATCATTTCTTGTGAAGATGCAAAGCAGTCTCCTAAGTCACCAACATCCACCCAGAGCCCACTGTACTACAGTGTAGTGTAGGGCCCGAGGGCTGGACTAGTGCTGCAGACCAGAATAGGCCAGACCCAAAGACAACACCCTCTGAAATTCCCTCTCCATCTCCTGGGGAGACCAACTCCAAGCTTGGGAGGACCAGCCAGATAGTCTTCAACATTATGCACAAGAAAATTTTCATATACATATGTATGTCACACCATGCACAGTTACAGCAGAAGAATCTGAAATTCAGGTGTTTGGAAGATGAACACACCAAAGAGAGAAAAATGGGAAGAATGCAAGTCCTGGCAAGGCTATCCAGAGGAACTGGACCTCTGGACTGGGCTAAAGGGCCTTCCACCCGGGCCACATGAGCCCCAGAATTCTGTATCAGCCTGAATCCGATCCCACCCTGAATAGCTTCTCTTTGGCTGCAGAGCTCCATATTAAGTCCCTTCCCAGCTTCAAGGGCTCAAAGCTGTCCAGGACACCATAAACAAGAACCCCAGCCTTCCTCTTCCTCCCCTTCACCATGGACTCCTCCTCTGATTCACATTTGCTCCTATTCCCAGCGTGCATACCTTCCCTGACAAATAGGTGGCATCTGGGAGTACGGAGACTCTCTGGAACAAACCCAGAGGTGTGCAGTCAGTGTGTGTACACAACCTGAAAGGTGTACAAGATGAGGTTCATGTGTGCTTACGTGATCGGGGCTTGTGCTTCCTCCTGTCTCACCTAGAGAGCTGAGGTCCAACAGCAGGGTTGACACTCACCTGGGTGTATAACTTCACCAAAGCCCAGCGTCCAAAAGGCATAAAAAGGGCCTTGGTGAGAGATGATAACTGATGTGGTAGGCAATGTCACTCCAGAGCCACTATTCCCCACCCCTCGCCAACACTCCACCTTATGCTCAAAAGTTCAAACACACACACACACACACACACACAAACACGCACACACGCGCAAGATGCTTGCTGCTGCCCTCAGTCACAAAGAACACAGAGCTATCGATTCTATCAATTCTCAGCAAACAGTGCCCCCCCCACCTCCACCCCACTTTAGTTCCCTGGGGGCTGTGTGAAGCCAAGTATCTATGAGGACAGACAAAATACAGAAGTGTCAACCCAGCAAAGGAACCAGTTCCATCTTCCATACCTGCAGCAGGATCAGCAGACAAAGGAGAAAGAGTAATGAGGACAAAGAGAGGAGGAGGAGGCTGGTGACTTGGGACTCCCAGAAGCAGTCCTCTCTCATTCCACTACTGGGCTCTCAGTTGGTTCACCAGGGTCTTGCAAGTCAGATAAAAGGATAGCATAGTATAATAGTTAAGAGCAAGGACCCCGGAGCCAGGTTGCCTGGGTGAATCCTAGCTCTGTGTGTTTTTAGGCAAGTTACTTAACCTCTCTGTGCCTTAATTTCCTCAGCTATAAAATAGGAATAATAATACCTACTTCATAGGGTTGATAAATACGTTACTATTTCTCATTGCATAGAGAAATACACTATGTATTTGGTTAGAAAAATTTTTTCAAGACCCTCTTTTAACTCCTTCTTTCCAGGGAAATAACATACAGCCCAACAACTGGAAGGGCTGTCATGAGCAGTGAGACTCGGCAGAGGCAGGAAAGTGCCAACAACAGCAGTCCACGTAGGGTCTTGACCTGTACACACCCTGCTCCAGAGAGGCAGAAGGCAGGGCTCCCAGCTCTCTTCTAGCCCTGGTAGCCTCAAAAACCCAGGGAATCCCTGATCTAGCTGCCCTGTAGGCTTGAACATTTAGGCTTCCACAAGGCAAGACCTGGTCCCACAGATTCCAAGCCCTGCCAGCAAAGTAGCCTTTCTTATACTCACATGACTTTTAAGTCCCAGTCTCCACAGGTGACAAAAATTGACTTGACGTTTGGATCTAAGAGGCCTTCCTTCGCCATCCACTCATCGACCCTCTGAAAAGTATACAAGAACAGATGAGATTTTCCTTTTTTTTTTTCCCCTGAGCCTGTGAAGAGCCACAACAGTGAAACGCAGATAAGCTGCTTGTAATCAGAGCAGGAGAAAATTGTAATCTTATCCAGCCATGGCTCCACTCTGAGCTCTTAGCCTTGGCTTGGAACTGCGGAGGTACTTGGAGGACGATCCCTTCAGGGAGATCCCACAACCCCTCCACTTGCCCACTGTCTGGCAGCCTGCCCCAGATCCCAGCAGGTCAGTCCAAATACCTTGCTCTGATCCGCTTGTTACTGTCATTGGTCCTCAGACAAAGGCCTAGCCCAGCACAGACACATGGCTATCCTGGGGCCACGAGAACAGGCCGGAAGGAGGCCCCAAGCATGAACTCCAATCCACTGCTTCATTCATTCACTTGTTTCTTTTACCCTTCCACCAAATGTTTGTTAACGATATTTATAAATTAGGTTATTTACCAAATGAAAGTGAAGAAAATTTCCACCTTCAAAAGAGGCCCCTTTCCTGGGCTGGAGCCCCATCCTGATGCCTGGGATAGTGCTGCCTGCTCCAGTTGCTAAAAGCTCCTAAGCTGGCCCCCCAGCTGTGTATTTCTCCTCTTGCTGGTTGAGGATTCAAATTCAGCAGAATATTTGGAAGGCTCAACTCAGTTCCTACAAAGGCAAAGAAGCTGCTCCTAAACACACGTTAAGTCTTTCCCTTTATCCCTTTGATCAGTTTTATTATTCACACTCACACTAGAAATACAAATACTAAAAACAGTATATAGCAAGAGAATTATCATAAAGAATTCATGAAGCACTGCCTATTTTTCAGAAGATCCCAGGCATGGAGAGGGAGTGCAGCAGATCACACCACCGCTCCTACTCACGCAGGAGGATTATTTTTGTTAAGGCTATTTCATATAGTAGCTAAAACGCAGGATTGAAAGTCAGACACATCTGGGTTTCAACACTTGGCTCCTCCATATCCTGGCTGTGTCACTGATGAGAAGTCATTTAAAAGCCATTTAACCCCTCTAAACCTCAGTTTCCTTCATCTATAAAACAGCGTAGAATGACTAACCTCACACAGTTGTTCTGAGAATTAAATGTGATAATGTATTAAGTGCCTACCACAAAATAGATAGTAGGCTGAGAAGGGGAGAAGGGCAGATCATCACAAGGCAACACAACAGGTGCAGCAATGGAGAAATGACCAGAGTGCTGTAAGACCAAGAGGAGGAAGTGGCTAGCTCTACCTTTCACAGGGAAAGGAGCCAGAAAGGCTTCACAAAGAAGATAATTGATCTAGGGACTTGATGATTGGGTTTGCTTGATGTGGGGGAACATATAAAAGGATACTACAGGCCGGGCGCGGTGGCTCACGCCTGTAATCCTAGCACTCTGGGAGGCCGAGGTGGGTGGATCCTTTGAGCTCAGGAGTTTGAGACCAGCCTGAGCAAGAGCAAGACCCCGTCTCTACTAAAAATAGAAAGAAATTAGCTGGACAACTAAAAACATATATAGAAAAAACTAGCCGGGCATGGTGGCACATGCCTATAGTCCCAGCTACTCAGGAGGCTAAGGCAGAAGGATCACTTGAGCCCAGGAGTTTGAGGTTGCTGTGAGCTAGGTTGACGCCACGGCACTCTAGCCTGGGCAACAGAGTGAGACTCTGTCACAAAAAAAAAAAAAAAAGGATACTACAGGCAGAGGCACAGGCATAATAATTTTATATTTGTGAGGCAATTACCTGTTTAATGTCTGCCTTCCCTGCCAGACTATAAGCACCATAAAGGCAGGAACTCTGTGTTACTCACTGCCTTAATCCCACCCAGCACAGTACTCAATAGGTACTTGCTGATTGACTGCAAACCTGAGTAGGCAAAAGTTTAGTGTGATCAAAGTCCATAGTATATAGAAAGGAGGGACAGGAGATTGAGGCTGAGAGACTAGGTTAGGACACACTGTGAAGGGCCTCATGTGCTCAGGCAGGTAATGGGCAGCCCATGGACATCTTTAAGTAAGATTACTTCTAGCAGGTGTAGGCTGGCTCCCTGGACATCTCTGAGATGCTAAAGGCCTGGCCCAGGCTAAAGCAGTCCTTGAGTAAGCCATCTTTTCGAGTTCCATGGCTACGGCAGTTGTACCACTCAGAATGTCAGAGCTGCTCCCTAGTGCCAGACTGCATAAACCATATCCTGGCTGTGTCTCCCCAGCAGCTAAACTCTGGACCTTCCACTGCTGAATGGTCTGTCCCCCCAGACACTGTGGCCCAACCTTTTGCATGCGCATGCACGCACAGCATATACACACATATATACGCACGCACGGACACACCTCTAAATCCTTTACCCAGGATCACCTAAAGAAAATAAGACAGGCTTTACATAAGAAAAGAGGTAAGGCTGGCCAGGTATGGTGGCTCATGCCTGTAATCCCAGCGTTTTGGGAGGCCAAGGCAGGAGAATCACTTGAGGCCAGGAGTTTGAGACCAGCCTGAGCAACATAGGGAGATCCTGTCTCTATAAAAAATAATAATAATAATAATAATAATAAAAATAAATTAGCCAGGTGTAGTGGTGCATGCCTGTAATCCCAGCTACTCAGGAGGCTGAGGCAGGAGGATCACTTGAGCCCAGGAGTTTGAGACTACGGTAAACCATGATCACACCACTACATTCCAGCCTGAGCAACACAGCAAGACCCTGTCTCTAAAAAAAAAAAAAAATAGGTAAAGCGAACCTCTTGCTCCAACTCACTGACCTTACATCCCCAAGGTAAGTGCCCCACATGCTAGAGGGGCTCCCTAAGACCCCAATTCCTGCACAGTGGAAAAGAGAGCAAGATACAACAGAACTGTCAGGAGGCCACGCCCAGCAAGACCAGGCCTTCACCATGGGAAAAACTTAATACTCACTGGGGTACCTGAAAGCTTAGGACACAGGCCATTCACTCATTTAGCAAATTTTTAGTGAGCAACTTTTACTATGAGTCTATCGAGGAAAATGATACTACATTTGGAATTAGGCCTGTCCTTTTCTTCTCTGCTTGAATGAATAAATGGTTGGAAGAATCACCAAGACAACCTGATCAGCTGGACCAGCCATCCCAGTTACTGAAGGTCTAGGGGCCTAGCCTGAGCTCTACTTAGAACAAATGAGTCAGGCAAACATCTAGGTGGCTGCCTGCTCAGGGCCATGGTTGGGACAAGAAATTAGCTCTTTAGCTCTATAACCAACTCAGGGCTAATAGGACAAAGCAGAGCCTGGTCTGGTCTCCCCTACTGCCAGGAACTCCCTATTCAAGCTAATGCCAGGAATCCTCCCCACTCACCCACAGAGTATGCAGAAGTAGCAGAAAGCAGCTTCCCGGGTGAGACTCAGGATCCTCTGAGCACCCTGCTCCAGGGCTGGCCCGGGGTTAGCAGGAAGTTGCCTCCTGAACACGTCTCCCCCTCAACTGGGGCCACTGAGAAAAAACCCATAACTTCAACAGCCCTAGTTTGGTGCTGCCCCAGAGCAAGCATCCTCCTCCCAGGATCTCAGCCACAGATGGCCAGGCAAAAGCTGCTGTCTTCTGACATCCCTCAGGAGCCATGCCCTGGCTGGAGATGCTGGCTGGGATGCAGAAGCGTGGGTCCCCACTTTCTCCTTGAGTGTCGTCTTACAGGGAGCAGTCCATGCTAAGGAGCTTTCTTGATCATAGAAGTGAATCTCCCCTCAAAAAAAAGGGTCCTTGGGCCGGGCGCGGTGGCTCACGCCTATAATCCTAGCTCTCTGGGAGGCCGAGGCGGGCGGATTGTTTGAGCTCAGGAGTTTGAGACCAGCCTGAGCAAGAGCGAGACCCCGTCTCTACTAAAAATAGAAAGAAATTAATTGGACAACTAAAAATACATAGAAAAAATTAGCCGGGCATGGTGGCGCATGCCTGTAGTCCCAGCTACTCGGGAGGCTGAGGCAGTAGGATCGCTTGAGCCCAGGAGTTTGAGGTTGCTGTGAGCTAGGCTGACGCCACGGCACTCTAGCCCGGGCAACACAGTGAGACTCTGTCTCAAAAAAAAAAAAAAAAAGGGTCCTTGGGGCTGGGAGTCCCCTCAGAGCTCATCTCATCCTCTCCCACTCTATACAGGTACCCCAACCCTGACCCAACCAGACTGGTCACAAAGCTTTGGCTCTCATACTCCTAGGGACACGGAGTGCACTCTGGCACTGAGGTGAGCCTAAACTTGCCTCTCTGACCCGGGCTCATCCTGAGGGTCCCCAGGAAATTCAGTCTGCATCTCCCCCATGGGACAGGATCTCTTGGCTAAAGGAAGATATTTTGCCCTCTCCTTGCCGCTACCCTACTTTCTCTAGGCTGCCTACCTCCATGCAGATGTGCCCTGTATTCCTCCAGATACTCTGTTTTCTCCTGTGCTTTGATAAGGTCTGAGCTTTGGGTTTATGGGTCTTAAAATAACTAAAGCACCTAATGAGATCCACAAGCATTCTCTTCTCCCCTCCCCCTGTAGAGGACATGGGAGGGGGACCTTCTCCCCCTGTGAAAACCTCCAGGCCAGAGGGGGGTGGGAGGCAAGCTGAGGCCAAGCACTGCCCTTCCTTATTCCCTTGGGCTAGAGCACAAAAAGCAGCATCTTAACCTTTTCCAGCTCCCCGAGGAGAACATCCTAGAAGTGTGGTCTCTGCCAAGGATTTTAAAGTCTTTAATTTGATTTCCCTCACATAGGCAATTGTTGTAATTATTCTGATTAGGAATCATTACCCAGTGCAGCCTCTGCACCCCTGACAGGCACAATACATCCAGCGGCAAGCTGCAGTGGGGCAAGCGGGCCCAGCCACAGCTCCTGGAGGAGCTCACAGCAAACAAAAGCCATCAACGGGGAGTTCTGGGTGAGTTAATGAAGTGCTCACATGCCACAAGAAGCCAACACTAAATCTAAACAAAAACACCTCCAGTCCCAGGGGCTTGTCCCTCGATGCCACGGCTCAGCTCCCCGACCCCCAACCCACCCGGCACAGGCTGTCCAAGCACCGGCCCACACAGGACCATGGGCCAGAAAGGGGTGGGGGCCCCTCCGCCCGACTCCTGGCAGCACTCGGACATCTTGTCAGTAACCCTGACGGGAACAGCTGGAGATGACAGATCAATGGTTCAATACTCTCAACAGCATGTCACTGATGTGACAGCAAATGTTATTCTAATCAAGCCATAATCATAGTCAAATTACACGGCTACATTCTCAGGAGGGGAGGGAGAGAAAGGCAGCAGAAGGGGTCAGAGGTCAGGAATTAAAGGTCACTCAACCTACCTCCAGCACTTGCTGCAGGCTTGGCTGACCATCCACCATGGCTTGAATAATCCCGGTGAGCTGAAAGGAAAGAGAAATAGCCAATGGGTGGAAAAGCAGGGCAGAGACTCACAGCTGAACTGTATCCTTTCCTTTCTGATTTTCTCCTGCTGCAAAGGGCTGTGACCTGGCACTGCTTTAGGCTCAGAACCTGACCAGAAGCCTTGGGAACAAAGTCCCAGGACACAATATGAGCTTCTCCCACAAAATCCTGCCCTGGGATGTGGGTAAAGATACACTTGCTGACCACAGGGTGTGTTCTCATACCTGTTTCAGCTTTCATTTTGCAAAAACAAATTTATTTTACATGTCTTTTGTATTCAATAGGCTCAATAACCTCCCACAAATTGCAATCTAAAGTAAATACAACTCGTAGCTTCACAGAAGTTCCTGCAAAACTTGCAGAGTGCTCATACGAAACAGGCGCCACTTGGTTTCAAGTCCACCCCTTCTCTGAGCCTCAGTGTGCAGTGTGACCCCTGCCACATTCTCTCGAACATCCGTGAACATCCATGAAGCCCCGCAGATGTCTACGCCTCACCCTGCAGATCTGGGTCCTCAATACCAACTAGCCACGCAGGAAACAGAGCCATCTTTAACCAATGGGGAAACCAAGACAGAAAGGCCTAATGCACAGAATCTGGTCTAGAGAACTTCTGGCTCACAGGCCTATGCTCCACCCAGGTCAGGTCTGGGTTCAAACAGGCTTGTTGTTTTGTTTTTAAGTAAAATTATCCCTCAAGCACAGGCTAGGGATAGACTGCCTACAAGGATCTAAGAGCATGAGGTCCCCATGTCCTGGACACCAAATGGAAATCACCATGCCCAACATGCCCCTGGCTACTTCCAGAAAGAGTAGTATCTTATGCTTGCTTGGAAACCTCCTTTTTTTTTAAAGGGGGGGAATTAAACTCCAATTAAACCATAATTACATTTAATGAATACCAAATACCCAACTCACAGAAACCGCCGGCTCTAAGAGGGAAGATTATTTTCTCATAGTGACTTACATGGAATGGTAATACACACCTTTTAGGGAAGAAATTTTCATTTTAAGAACGCTGAGTTCCTCTAGGTGGGTTTCTGTAGTTCATCAAGTCATTATTAGGTGGAATTTTAAGGAAGTGTAAGGACACAGCCACTCTATTTTATATTCCAGAAACTGTTTTTATATTAATCTGTATTTTAATTGGGTAACAGCTGCTGCCTACAGACTTCCCATGGTCTAAAAGGAAAATAAATTAGAAAGATTAACTACACTGTTGTTTTGCAAGGCTTTAACCCACAGCATGCCCACCCGGCTGGCACCTCCACACCCTTTCCTTGCTTGGGAGACCAAAGAACTGCCCAGCAGAGGGAGTCAAGGAGAAAAGATGGTTGCTAAGGGCTGGGGGGATGGGCATGGGGATGTGCTCTGGGTCAACAGCTTCAATAATCCTGCAGTGCAAAGGACTCTTCCTTTTATTTAGTCAACAACTATTCACAGAGAGCCCCCTATGTGCTGGAGCCCACTGTAGGAACCAGGGATCCAGCAGTGAAGAAAAACCTAAAAACCCTGCCTGCATGGAATCTGCATCCTTGGCACCCCCTGGTCCCCCGCACCCCAGAACCCAGAGCCTTTCCACCTTCCAGAGCCACAGACTGAGTGGGCAGTTGCCCTGTGTTTTGTCTCAGGGACACAGGTGCCAAACAGAGCCAGGAGCAGGCTTGTTCCCAACTCCAGGTCCCACATCCAGATTACTGGCTGACACCCATGAACCCACCACTGAACATTCCAGCCCAGCTTCTCTCCTGCTAAGTCCAGGGCTGAGACACAGCCTCAAGCTTAGAGCTGGGGCTTAGGGTCAGGACTAGCCTGGAAAAGAGGGTCCACAGCCACTCTCACTTCTTAGCTCCAGGGTCCAAATGTCAGTCTTGTGTCTGGTCTGAGTTTCCTGGGACAAAGTTAGGTCCACTCCTCTTGGCTCCCATCAAGGGTCACTCAGAAGAGCCAAATGCCAAACGGCTTCAAGAAAGTCTCACACATGAAATCAGTGCACCTTTGCCAAGAACCCTCCCTCTCTGGAGATGGGGCTTAGGTCAGTACCCCCACAAGCACCTGCCTTGGGCCCCAGAAAATCCACTGATGGGGGCGAGAAAATCACTACACCAAAAAGGAAACACAGGGTGCTGCTCAGATGTCTTGCTGCAGGAACCTCACTGCAGACTAGGTTGCCTCTTCCCACCCCAGGACCAGAGCTCCCACACCCTGGGGCGGTCAAAAACTCCACCCCAGTGCTCAGCAATCCTAGAATCATCAGCCTGGGAGGAGCCTAGTGAGGTCAGCTCCCTCTCTCTCGCTGCTTCCCAGGAAACAGGTATTTTCACTTGTGGCCCAGCAAGGCTCACAGCTGAGCCTTGAAGCGGAGCCTAAAGGATTTGACCTCAATCCCCAGAGACACTGGGCTTTGAGATGTTGGCTCAACAAGACACAGCCTTCTAGGGGAAGGCCTCATGCCCCTGTATTAATCCCTCCAAGGATGGACCACCTCTTACCAGCTCTGCCAAGACACTGGATGAAGAAGGGATGAAATTAAGAAAGTTAGTCCCTGCACCTGATACTAACAACCTATAAGGTACCTGTAAGACTTATACAAGAGGCCGGGCGCGGTGGCTCACGCCTGTAATCCTAGCTCTCTGGGAGGCCAAAGCAGGCGGATTGTTTGAGCTCAGGAGTTCGAGACCAGCTCTGAGCAAGAGCGAGACCCCCCCCCCACCATCTCTACTAAAAATAGAAAGAAATTAATTGGACAACTAAAAATATATAGAAAAAATTAGCCGGGCATGGTGGCGCATGCCTGTAGTCCCAGCTACTCGGGAGGCTGAGGCAGGAGGATCGCTTGAGTCCAGGGGTTTGAGGTTGCTGTGAGCTAAGATGACACCACGGCACTCTAGCCCAAGCAACAGAGTGAGACTCTGTCTCAAAAATAATAAAAAAAAAAGACTTATACAAGAAACTGTGAGGGAGACAGACATTTTATAAAATTAATACTGGGAAGTTCTATCTTAGGGCTAACTTAAATCCTTCATGCTATAGTTTAAATTCATTCCCACTTGGGTTAATATATGTTTGTAAAAAGCTTTCACATCCTCACAATGAAAAGTACTAGAGCAAAGCCAAGTATTATTAAGCTGAGAACCAGGGCTCACAGGCTAAACAGAGCTCTGAGACCTTAACCACTTAAAGCAGGAGAGGTGAGAGGAAGAATTAATGTGTGCTCTGTGGCTTCTTTCACTGAGGGATTACAGATTAACTCCCACTTCTCTAGACTCAGACACCACAAGGCAAGGAGCTTTTGACCCTGGCTGATAACATGGCTGGTTACTGAGATCCCCAACCCACACGAGGGCTTTGTCCAGGAACGAGCTGGCTTCATTATAAACACTAGCAACTACAGGAAGCAGCCCAGGAAACTCAGTGCCAATAGCATGTCAGCATCCAGCGCTTTCTCCTTTCACAGTTTATCTCCAACACAATCGTATTCTGACACCAAGACAGTTTGTTGATTACATAAGCACTTGTCTCTCGTGTGCAATCTGATAATCAGACCCACTCTTTCTCCTCAGACAAAGAGACCAATAAATCTCACCCTTTATAAATACAGGTGCAAGACAAAGCCCTTTACTGGCATTTAGCAAAATGGGTATTTTTCTAGTTTTTGCATGACAACAACAACAAAAAGAAGACTGCACATGGCCAGGACTGTGCAGCAGCCCAGCTACTAGAGACAGGGATCTATGAGTTGGAGCAGATTCTAGAGGTCACAGGGAAAGGACTCGAGAAGGAATGAAACACATCTCATCCTGTTAGAACCATGTCTCTAGGCAGACCATCAATTGGAACTAAGAAAGCACCTCAAGAAGGCTAAAGACATTTTCCTTACAGCAGTAAAACTAAGTGTCTGCATGTGGGCTACAGACCCAAGGCAGAATCTTACTTCCTACTGTCCAGCACTAAGCCTGCCTCTCTCCCCACACAAGAATGTGCTCATGTGTGTACATCTGTATGTGCAAATGCACATGCACACATACACACACAGGCTAGGGTTCTTAAGAGCTTCTTGTGCACAAGAGAGGAAATCCTGACAGAGGAGCTACGTAGGTATAATTTGGAGGTTTGGGGTTTGCTATAGTTCAGACATGGTTTGTCTGACCCCTCCAAATCTCATATTGAAATTTGATTTGCAGTGTTGGAGGTGGGGCCTAATGGGCGGTGTTTGGGTAATAGGGGCGGATCCCTCATGAATAGATTAATGCCCTCCCTCTCACTCTATTAGTTTTCAAGACAGCTGCTTGTTAAAAAGAGCCTGACATCTCCCTTCCCTCACTCTCTTGCTTTCTCTCTCACCATGTGATCTCTGCACATGCCAGCTCCCCCTCCCCTTCTGCCATGACTGGAAGCAGCTTAAGGCCCTCAACAGATCCAGATGCCTGTGCTGTGCTTCTTGTACAACCTGCAGAACTATGAGCCAAATAAACCTCTTTTCTATAAGTTACCCAGCCTCAGGTATTCATTCACAGCAACACAAATGGACTAAGACAGGGTTGTTTCTTGCACTTACTAACGGAAGAGTCTCTTTGGTTGGAATGACCTCCACCCCTACCCCCAACGGCAGCTACTGCCAGGTTGGATGAGGTCTCAGAACAATGCTCCCCCCCATCCTGTGTCCACACTTCTCTCTGCAATACAATTCCATGTGGTATGGAGATAGGGCAATATTTAGATGATCTGAGGTTTTCAAAACCTTTACTTACTCAAAAGAGCAAATCAGCACTACAGTTGCTTTTGGGGGAGACAGAAAGTAACTCCTTGACAATATTCATTCATTTGAGGTACACATATCAGGTGTTTATTTGGTACCAGACCCTAACGATGGCACGGAGATGGATAAGCTCTAGTTTCTGCCCTGAAGGAACTCACAGCCCAGTGAAGAGACAGATAAATAATTACAGTGTAATGTATGTGATCAGTGCTAGGATGGGGTGAGCATAATCCAGCCTCTGGATCAGGGAAGACTTCCCAGGAAGGTGACCCTGAGTATAGTTCTAGAGGACAGTCCGAGTTAGGGGGAGTAGAGTGGGAGAAGCATACAGGCAGAGGAACCATCATGTGAAAAGACAGATTGTGAGAGGGCAGCCTTTGGGTTAGGGGAGCTAGGTGAGAGATGAAGCAGGGAGATGTGAGGCTGGACAAAAAGGGATGGGAAAAAAAACCAGGTCCTAAGAATTTTGAGCTCTGGAAGGCTGAGACAAATGGGAGACCTGGTGCCTGCAGAACCACCACATTTTCACTTCAGAACAGGCTTCGCAACAAGGATCCCAACCACACTCCTACTACCCTCCAATTTATTTATCTATGTCCTTGAGTGAAACTTTCTAGAAAAAAACAGTTTTAATCACAGTCTCACAATCCCTCCTCCCTTCCCCGAAAAAAGAATTAGCAGCAACCCTGCTCTGGGAAAACCCTCTTTTCCCAATATTCCCGAGCATCTACTCCCACCCAGGGTCCAGTGTCAGCAGCACTCCGTTCCATTCCTAAACAGGTAGCAACCTTTCCAAAGTTTGGGCCTGCCTGTCTATGCCAGGCAGCCTAGCCTCACAAAGCTAGAGCCCCCAGGAGGAAGAGAAGGACAAGAGGATACTAGACTTTGAGGCCAGTGGAGGACTCAGGTAATTGGCTGGTTTAAAGGAAGGAAGTCTTCCCTTCCCATAAGGAAGAGGATTTTCATCATCATTAAAATGGTGATTTTTCAAATGGGGCAGAAAGGACAGATCAGCACCCCCTGCTGGTATAGGTAATTCCCAAGGGAAAGGGGAAACAAACAATACACAAGGGAGGGAACCAGAACTTCAACATCATTAGTTGGAGTAACAAAAGGCTTAAGAGACCAGGCACCTCCGCAGATGGATGCCTGCAATGAAAGGCCCACCTGGGTCAGGTGGCAAATACCAGCATCGAGTCCAGTAGCAACCCTCGAGACCCTGTATCTGGGCTACGTCAGCCTCAGCACACATTGAGCCCTCCCACCAGGGTCAGACAGGCTCATCCCCAGCCTCTTCCACACGAAGAAGATTGTTTGGGATTACTCAAGACCCTCTTTCCACTTATTTCATTTCCATGTAGAAGGTAGATCTCTAAAGGAAGGCACAAAGTCTCTAATGTACCTCAGCCACAAACTCTTAAAAGATTCCAGAAACTTTCATGTTTTCTCATCCCTCTGCTACCACGCGTTCTTAACCACACAGTCCTGGGAGTCAGGACTTTCAGGGGCTCCTCCCCTCTGCCAATGGCTCTTTTGAGCCTCCAACAAGGATCGAAATCTCAGTTAGTCCCAGTTTCACAATCTGGAAAATGGGTCAATACTAACATGCTGACAAGGCAGCCAAGTACAATACCAGCCTAGGATAAGGACAGCCTTGGCTAGTCCTCATGCTCCACTCAGAATGCCCTTCTCTTTCCTTGGTGACAGAATGTGCTTCCTGCAAACTCAACCTATGCTTCACGCAGGGCTACTTTACAAAAGGACAGAGTAACAATATCAGAAAGCTAAGAAAGTCTGAACATTAACTCTTCCTTCCAAGTGTCTGAATCTTCACCTCTTGCCAGGGCCCCAAAAGGAAATGGAACTGGAAAGAGCCTGAGCCCCAGAAATACCATCTTGCTCCTGGACTCCAAGTGCTCAGTCACCAGGATGGGCAGGGATGACAGGAAAGGAAAATGTTGGAGAAATTGGGACAGATTGTGTCACTGTTCTCTCTGGGTCCCCAGTGACCACAGTGGCCCAAGTGGAGGGCAGACTTTATAAAAAGCCACCTGCTGGATCCAATGTGCCTTGACCACTGATGAAACCTAAGCTCTTCCTAAGTGGCCTATATAGAGCACCAATGATCCCCTAACCCTTGCTGCCCACCTGCAGGGCCCTTACCTCTGTACAGAAGGGGGTAAGCTGTGGATGGACTACGGGCTGGACATACATGTGAAAGGTAGACTCAATCTCCATGGTGCGGCCATTTAGCTTCAGGATGGGGAATTCGATGATTTCCTGGAGACATAGAAAGGAAAAATAAGTTATTTTAACCACTCATTTGAAACAATAACTCCAAGTCAAGAAAGAATGGGTATTTTGGGCTCATTAGCTCCTGCCTAGCCAAACCCATGATTGAGTGAGACGGTGCCAACACAGTTGTAATCCTAACCCTCCCACTGCTAGCACCTTCCCAGGTTCCAGGGATGAGACACAGCCCTATCCCCAATGTTTCTGAAAAAGGGAAGGAAGACAGTAGTATAATCTGCTCTAGTTTCTCCAACTGGTTCTCTAGCAGAGGGCCGCTCACCTGGGCCCCTAAAAGTAGGCCCTCCTTCCCCTTGCCCAGGTCCCTGTCCTGAATGGGTCTGGATCTTCAGCCATACAGACAACTAGCCATCAGACCAACGCACAGATTTTCTCATATGCAGTTTAAATAGAGCTGGTGAATTTCTCCATTAGTTTGTATTTAAAAAAAAAAAAAGATACATAATAAATAAAGCCAAAGGGGATCCCAAGGAGGAGAAAACTGAATAAGTAACAGGAGCCAGTGCCTCAACTTTCTTTCAGGCTATACACCCTCCCCCCTCAACCCTCAACCCCCAGCCCAATCGCTTAGCCAGCCCTTCCCAGTCCACTGAAACATAATGGAAGAGAAAGAGGAGGAGTGACAATTTGTTTGGTGTCTCTAAGATTAATTTGTCTCCGTTATTTAATAGAGATGCACAGCACCAAGGTCCTGGTGTGCAAACAGGCTTGCAGAATGCTGGCTGTGCAGCACGCCTCATACATCGCTCCTGGGAAGGGAGGAACGCACCAGAGGGGGGAGAGGGCAGGAGAGAGCAGGCACGCACCAGAGAGAAGAGGGAAAGCAAGGAGAGAGAATAAAAAAAATTATTGCTTTTTAATATTCAAAAACAGTTTGCAAAATTTAATCAAAGCAGAGGAAAAGCTAACATTTTTACCACTTTGACATTTTTATTAGCGCTTTCATAAATTTTTAAAACATGAATGGAATTAGTTTACAACACAAAAAAACTGCCCTGAAAACATCTGGAAGAGACAAATAGGAAATAATAAAAAAAATAAATAAATAAAAGCAAAATTCTCCCGGTAAAATTAGCATGTGTAAAGGGCCTTCACTGCAGAGCAAGAAAGGGGACTTTGCCCATTCAGTGGCCCCAGGAGTCACCTCCAGCAGCATCCCTATCCCAGGTCCCCATTCTGGAGAGGACCTTTCCAGTATCGCTAAAATCAAGGCAAATTGGTTCTCTCCACAGACTGCCTGGAGGAGCAACACAGAGCTGATGACACCTGACTGCACTTAATGAACTAATGGGTGGGAAAACAGAAGGAGAAATAGTCGATCTCCTTGATGTCCCAGGGAAGCTAGGTATCCTCCCCCCAAAACATACTCACTAATATTGGGCTTGTTTTTAAAGCATCTATTTCGATCTAACACATAACAGCAGGACTGAAAACCAAATCAAGTCAGTCAGATTTCATGCCAGAAAAATTCAAAGATTCTGGCTGCCTGGTCTTCATGCACTGATCCCCAGAGATGGGGAAGCTGACAGGAGCTCATTCCCAGGGATAGAAAGGGCACAATGGCTGTAAGGCTGAGGCAGAGGGGAGACAGAGAGGAGGCCCAGGCTGCTGCTTAGAATAGGTGACACCTCTCCTCCCAATTCCCTGGACCTTTTGTTCCCCACAAAGTATTACAAAGCAGATCAAGTAAAGGGGAGTTTTGCCCTGAATATCAAAATTGAACACATATACACACTAAATATGCATTAGTCCCCTGAAAAATCAGATATCCAAGATTTCCAAGAGCCAACTCTGAGGTGCAGCTCATTGGAGTCAGGCTCATCTGACTCCTGAGTTTCTCATATATCCCTCCTCTCCCACTAGGTAGAAGAAAGACTTCCCCAATAGAAAGAGCTCTGTAGTCTGGTGGGTTTGGCTGCCCTGGTGTCTAAGGAAACAAATACAGCCAGCTCCTCACTAACAACGTTAGCTGGGCCCACAATGAAATTTAACCTGTGACACAACTGTACTTTTCATTTAAACTTTCATTTGGAGAGAAGCAGTGTTTGGAGACCTGCAGTTTGTCCTGCTAATAAAGACAAGTGTTGGGACCTTTAAGGATGCCATTCATCTTTGGCTTTTATTAAATTCAATTTTCTTAAGCCCATGATACATTATGAAATTAGGAGTTGACATTCCTCTGGAAATAAAAATATCTATCAAACATAAATAGAAAAAAAACCTCTATTACCAAGAATTTATGGCTTAAAGTTGATCTCTTTTCACTTTTTTACAAGCACATGGTTTGTTTTAGATATCTGAAATGCTATTATAGATCTAGAATTTCATTAGTATTTATTATAAAACAGTACATGCTTTAGCTCCTGCTCTGACCAGCACCAAGACAGCAACCCCAGAAGCCTCTCTGAAAACTTGGCCTTTGGGTTTCTCCACTGCAGCTCAGTATTCAAATTTTCCTGCTACTGGCTTCCTCACCCATAGGGAAATGGAGCCAACCTAAGTGCTCAAAGTCAGTGCCACCCCTTCCCCAGAGGAAGAACAGGCTAGCTCAGCTCCATGCAAAAAAAAAAAAAAAGGGGATAGACCCCTGAAATGCCTGGGAGCCAGGGACTCAAGGCCCAGGACACATCAGATTGGGCCTGTCATAAATACACCTCTCTGATGTTGCCAGCCCATCAGCCAGGCCTTCTCTCCAAGACCAAGAAGAACTTTCAAGGGCCAGTCTCAAAATGTGATCTTGCAGGGGCCCTTCCTCAGCAGCATCAAGGAGCCTGCATACTGGCATATTCATGTGAGCCACTAAGGATGCAAAAGAGGATCTTCTGATAGAAGACCCTCTGGGAAGTCAGAGCACAGAGGACCTCACCTAGGTACTGCTCACCTTCCCATAGTGCCCAGCAAGCCCAAAACCTCAAAATACTGGCCCAAACAGCCCAGTCATGGGAGAGGAGCCCCAATCTGCACCAAGTTGGCACAATTCTGCAGCCAGTGGACCTGGGGCATGCCAAACACTTTGACAGTTCTTAGCTGATAATGATCAGAGACATAACCCCAAAACTACAGGTTGATGGCATAATTCCAATCCAAAGATTTGTGAAGATGTGCCCAAGTGCCAGCTTCTAGGTCCAGTTGCTCAGATAATGAAACTGTTATTCCTGCCCCTCTCCTTTCCCCTCATCCAATTCCATCCTTCCCCTAGGAAGAGGGTTTTTAGTAACAGTTTAGTGTAAAGGTAGCACTGGGAAGGAAGGAAGAACCAGTTTGTATTTCTCGCCCTCTTTCCCTCCCCTAATCATAGCTTCGAGATTCCTTTCCTATTCAACTAAACTACCTGAGCGCCCACTTTGTATAGGATACCATCAAGGTGTCAGAGTGGGATTTAGCAATAAAATGTAATCTCTGCTTTGGAGACGTGTATGGACTAGTGAGAGGAAAAGATAGGTGAACAAATAATGAACAGTGTGCTTTGATAAGTACTTTAGTGGAGGGACATAAAAAGTGTTATGCTTTTCCATTTACAAAAGGCCATTTACAAAAGTGTGCTTTCACACATATTTTCTTATTTTACCCTTATTAACCCTGGGAGACAGGTTGTATCATCATCACCATCACCATCATCAGGTCATAAACCAATACTATGAAGCATCTACTATTAATATTTACCAGGCATGGGCAGTGGACACACAGATGAATACAATGAGATGTGGCTCCTCTCTCTGAGATGCTCAAGTCTGGGCAAAGGGTGGAGAAGAGCTGTTCTCCAACATTCTCCAAGACACATGGAGAATGGAATCACTTTATTCCTTCTGTTTACTGTTTACTATGTGGCAGACACTGTACTAAGTGCTAATAGGCATGATCTCATTTACTCCTCCTAACAATTCATGAGGTGGGAATCGTTATTATCCCTATTTCACAAATAAACTAAGGCCCGAAGAAATCACTTGCTCACAGTTATACTGCTAGTAAGGGGCAGAGCTGGAACTCCAAATGGGGAAAAAGAGACTTAAAGACAGTAGGAGAACTAGAGGACTAGCAATTCAAAACCTGAAGGGTCAAGAGAGATCTGATTCTCTTAGTCTGAAAGGCTAGCTGTAGGGAACTAAGTCTACCGTCTCCTAGAAAGAGAGGCTGCTCTCATAACAGCAGTGAACGTGGACTGTCCAGGCAGAAAAGTCCAAGAGGATTGCTACTGAAAAGCCTCCATCGTGGGCAGAGACAGATGGCACTGGGCGCAGGAACCACACGCCTTTGGCCTGCACCTCCAGAACCTGGCTCTGATTCTGGCACACAGTCCTCACTCTTCTCAACTTTTGTTGAGCAAACATATAAAAGGGCTGATAAGTGGAAGATACTAGCCACGGGCCTTGCTCTAAAAGAAAACACTGCCAACACAGAAGTCTCCACAGAATCAGAAAAGAGAAATGATCTGCCTAAGATGACAAAGATGGTAGATGGTAGAGATAGGTGTCAAACCCTGACATGTAACACTCCAAAGCACTTTTCTACTAGGTCCACTCTCTCATCTCTAAGTGGTCTCCTTCCGCAACTGCTACTAAATCCCAGTTTTACTGAGGGTAACCAATTGTCCTATTTGCTCAGGACCAAGGGTTTCCCAGAACACAGGATTTTCAATGCTAAAATTGAGACAGTTGGTCATCCTATACCATCCACAAACTACCTATACCATTGGGCTGTCCAAGGGCAACGTACTATATATCCAAAAAACTGGTATGCTGATGGTGGATGGGAATTGGCCACAACTTGACAACTAAAGAGAAAAGCCTCAGAATTTGGATTTTTCAAAGTATCTAAGATTCCAAATCTATTATTCCTACTCTCTCCCTGCAAATCTTTTTTGTTGTTGTTGTTTTTGAGGGGAGAAAAGACAGAGAAATAAAAAGGAAGCACCAACCAAATATTCATTTACCTTTTTTTTTCCCCCAGAGACTGGGTCTCATTGTTTTGCC